GTTTTCCAGTTGCAAGTTTGTAGGGTAATTCAGTGTCGTATCTGTATGATCTGGCAATTCTTTAAGCTTTGTGTGTTTTGGACTTTTGGTAGACGCATACATATGGTGGCTAGATGCATATGAATTTAGCTGGAACAGTACAAACTCAGTCTTTGATGGTTTCTCCTGCCATTAACTACACTAGTGCAGGAGGTGTGGCCTCAATCGGCCAATAGCATTCACACAATTTCGTGACATGCCCCAATGGCCGTCGAGCACCGCCTTGTGATCGAAGCAACCGGAGAAAATTTATGGCCGCGAAAGTGACCAGACATTGGATATTTTGAAGTTAATGCCTCGTCATCGAATTAGGACAAACAAATCATTTTTTGGTTGGATGGAAATTAGAGGGGGAATGAGAAGACGGTATTAGATGCGTCCTCGTTTTTTTTTCTCAGCAGCTACGCAGCAAGCATTTTTGGGGACAGGAGATGCTTGAATTGTGGCTTTCTTTCAAAAATGATATTTAGCAGAAAGAAAGAATTTTCTGGTAGAAAGTTGGGATTAAATGAGTGAAGTCTAAGATGAAGTAGGATTCTCTTCCCTCTTTTTTTTTTTCTCTGTTTTTCTCCTCTTCTTTTTGAACGGTTACGGTTAAGTCACGTTAACATCTTATATTAAGTTTCTAGAGAGAGAGAAAATGAGAAGTGTGAGAGGAGGAAAGAAAATGGGAGGAAAATAGAAGGAAAGAGAATCCTACTCTGTCTAAGAGCCACCGATAAACTACTATTTCGTTTGCTAGAATCAAAATTGTGGTGGAAATGAATTTGGATTGTTGAGAAAGGTGCATATTGTTCACCATTCACCCTTTTATGTGGTTCAAAACGAGGAATGCTTGCATTAGTCGCTCGCATTGTGTCGGGCTATCCTTGACTGATACGGGTCTTATCTTATGGATGCAACTCATAATATTATTGGACAATTGTAAATAATAATGTAAGAGGAGGGGTTTTAGAGTCAAAACAAAAGTCGAAACCTCTTCCAAAATAAAGAAAAGTATTGCGGAACTAAAATCATAGAATTAGGTCTAAGAAATAAATGAAAATAACTCATTGCCAGGCTGCTAGGCATTTCTATAAATAACAAGTTCAATGTGGCACGTTTTGTTGATTGATCCAATTCGCCTTGTTATTAATATACACAAAACGTGTAGTGTATTTGTTAGATTGTAGTTAGATTGTAGTGGATGGAGCAAAAGTTGGCCAACAAGTTGTTTATCCCCGTAGGCAAAGCACTGCGAGTAACCTTTTGTTATGTGGTAATACGACGTCAAAGATTATGACCCATCAATTTAATTAGTTAGGAAATTTAGATTGAATTTATTTATTTATTTTATAAGGATTAAGTACCTAAACCTTTTCAACGATTTAGTGTCATTCCAAATTGGTCTTAAGCTTTTGAAATATTCGAAACAAGTACCCAACCTATTGAAAATGTCATATTCGTTAAGTCCAGATATTTTTTTTGTTAAATATACGTGTGGCAACAATGGATCTCACTTTTTAACTTACCGTGACACAAATAATAATAAAAATAACTTAAAAAACGACACGAAGATGAAAAAACAAAAAACAAAACAAATTCACAAATAAAATGAAAGACAAAATGAAGATCGGGAAATATTGAGCCCCTGCCACCTCCAAGCTCAATCTATCACCGAAACTCCATCCCAACCTCTGTGCTAATCTTGAAAGCTGTGAATCTGTGATTGGCCTAGTTAATTTAATAGAAATTAAATTGGGGTCTAACGAATGTGACATTTTCAATAGGTTAGATGTTTGTTTGAAATGTTTAAAAATGTTAAGACCAATTTGGAATGACACTAAAAGGTTGGGGTTGGGGCAAAAGCTATCAAAACGGGTGATTGGGGAAGGAGAGATAGGTCCATTCACGAACACTATTGGTTGGTTCACTCCTCCCGCGGGAACGACGGCAGCCTGATTATCAGCTGAACTACGTAATCAAAGGATCCACAAAGGCCTGGAATTAAAAAAATTGCCCCTTGTCGTGTTGGGAGTACTTAGTCCATTACTCCATTATATAATTTAGAGGAGTTTAAGAATTTGTTGAAAATATTAATACGTGACAATAATCAGATGGGGCTTGTAGGATAATTGGGTATTTTTGTGGGTGAGGTTCTTGAATAAAAATGCCATCTATTGACATAAATTTGATTAATTTGTCGCCCTTTCTTTGGGGCATGTTTAATGCTTTTTTAATTTAGGTTTTGGTAAGCTATGCACCAAGTAATATTATTGGTAGAATTTTAAAAAGTCATAAGTGGTGTGTTATCCTGGGGGATGGTGTCTTCTTGTTTAACTTATTACGTTTTATGTTTAGACTTTAATTTTTAATTTTTTTTTTGTAGCATAAAACAATTATATCGGTGGTATCTATATAATAGAAAGCCGGAGGCTCACGCATGCCGGCAAAAATTATTAGGCCAAAATTGCCGCTCAACTAAAAAAATCCAAAAGCAACCTAATATAATATATCAAATAATGTAGGGGTAATTTGGTAATTTGATTATTATAAAATATAATATAAATATAAGTGGGAAGAGAGAAAATAATACAAAAGGTTTTTTGCATGCAGATAACAATGTGATTAAATAAGTTATCAAAGGTCTTTTGCATACGGATAATAATGTGATTAAATTAATTTTCAAAATAATAATAATTATTTTTTAAATAAATGATGTTATCTACACTAAGGGAAAATGAGGTGGGCTTAGCCTCACAATAGGTTAGCAATAATGTGATTCAATCAATTGTTTATTAAATATTATTTTCTTTATTCTTAATATAAATTCTATAGAGACCGATTTTATTATGTGAATTCAGCTGCTTTAATTGGTTTATGAGGGGTTTCTTCTATCATGATCTAAAATTATTCATTTACTTCAAATTTTTGACTTTCCTTTTGTCAATTTGCGCATATAAAATTTAAAACGTATAAGTCGCACGTATCACGTCGTGATTTAAAAAGTACCTTCTGCACGTGCGTAAGCGCGTGCATGAATGCTAGTCGTCGTATAAAACGGTTGAGTGGAAGCTGAAAAAGCGTGTGTGCACAAATAATTTCTGAGCAGGAGTTTAGAAGAATTACAAATTTTGCTAAAGGATAAATTGAATATAAAATACGAAAATGAGTAGCTTAGTTTTTGGTGAATTAATGTGGATGAATTAGTGCAATAAAATAAATGCAGGCTAGCTAAGGGCAGTGTTGCCGTTTTGCTAGTTTAAGAATAAATCCATAAGAGCCATTCCATACCTTTGTCATAACTTGATTACCCACCAGAGAAGTCCAGGACTGCGAACCACATCAAAGCAATTTGTAATTACGTATCAACCATATAAAAAGTGACACAATTTTATTTTATTTTATTTTTTAGAAAATAAGTGATACATATTTTGAATAAGAAAAGTGGCACTTACAAGTCACTTTCTGACGGAATTAGATCCCATTCGGATCCACTTTGTGAGTATCTTAAGGATTCTCACATCTTAGTCATCCATCGTGTATTGTGAGGCTATAAATCATTTGACTTTTTTTTATTTAAAATTAAATACAAATAGTATCTGATAAAAAGTAACCGTACGATATACGATAAACGACTAAGATGTGAAGATCCCTAAGATTCCAACAAAATGAATCCGGATAGAATCCTCTTCCTTTTCTTTCTGACGTTCACATTCTAAATATACAAAATTTAATAAATTGAAAAGCTGACGTGATGGAACCTTTATACAATCATAGTTGGGCGATCGTTAATTTTTTTTTAATTTTTTTATGTTTTACGGTGTTGTTTTTAAGTGATTGCACGAAGTATTTAAAGAGTTAATTGCCTTGTGTCATTTAAGAATAAGCATGCCCTTCAACATGAAAAATAAAATGTCCCACATATTATTATGTTAATGGTACGACGTGGCTAGGGCGGCTATAAGGAGAATCCATTGAGGCGGCCAACTTAAGTGAGAGACATTCATTTTTACTTGTAGGTAAAAGGTTTTAAGTTTAATATTCATAAAAAACGAATTTGAACCATCTTATTACTAGTCATTGTGAGGTTAAGCTCACCCCTACTCCTTTAGTGTAGATGATATCGTTTGTTTAAAGAAAAAAAAGAGTAGTTTGTAAATGCATAAATAAGAATGACACTCATTTCTTACAATTTCATTCATCAAAACACATGCCATTAGTCCTAACAAATCCAACCCTTTACCACAGTGGTGGAAAAGTATTGAGCCCTTGCATGACAGCGACGGTTCAAACCCCGTCAGTATCTAATTTAACATCTAATATAACAAAATTTGTTGTTTAACCAAAAAAAAAAAACATGGAAACTCTCTTTTATGCCCTTTTTTTGTCCCTTGCACGCCCCTACCACTTGCGCTATAAAATACGTTTTTACTTGCATATCTTACCCATTAAAAAATTATTTGATAATTAAGAAGTAGATTTGAATTGATAAGGATCAAAATCATGGGGCTCTTTATATGTATTTTCTATACTTCCTCTTTCCACAATCTTTTATCATAACAAATCATGTTGATATTGAATCAAACTGAACATTGAATATTGATTCAATTTACATAAAAAGTATATTGAATGAAATTGAAAATGTCAAATTTTCTTTGTAGACAGAGTCACAGAGATGCACTACTCTACACACCATGTCATTCCATAAATTCATTATGATTGGAAATAAGAGAAAGACGTATATGAAATAGGTTCATTTTTAGGATAACGTTTTTGTTTAATAATATAATATATGTAAGTTTTTGTTCAAATGGTTTTACTATTGGATCATAATACCAGCTGCAGACATGATAGTGAACTAGTTCCATGCAAATTACACGGTCGAAAACAGGGGCACAATTGTAATAATCCCACAAAACCATGCCCAGTCTGATCGCATGCTTCAGATAAATCCCAACATATCCACCCAAACCAAACGCATTATAAAATCCTCGCTCTCCCACAAAAACCAGAGGAGAGCCAGGAACAAAGTCCACTCCCCAAAACCTTCTATCTCTTCCGCCTGAAACCCTAGACGAAAATGAGATCCCGCCAATGGCACAAACCATAAATCTCAACAATTTCGAGCCCCTCTTTCACACAATTCTCAGGTAACGCACATCGTAACAGCAAAATCACGCCATGAAGTTCTTGTTAGAGTTCGTCTCGTGCTGCGGGGCCACTCGCCCCGCAACATCCACCAGCGAGCCAGCTTCGCTTTCTGAGGAGACGAGGTCGCTGGTGAGGGCGCCTAGCCGAATGAGACGCTGCAGCAGAAAGCGCAGGAGCTCGGTAAATTCGTGCGATTGGAGGCCGTCGCTAAGCTCAATTTCCGAGGATAACGTTACTGCGATGGTGGTGGATCGAACGGCTGGGATCGAGAGATCCGTGAAGAGGAAGAGCGGTCATGATCGACCAAAAGTTCAGGTCCGCAGCCACGACGAAGATAACGGGTACGTGAATAGTAAAATATAGTAAATAGCAAAATAGTAAAATCATCGGATGTTTTGCTTTCTTTAGACCACGATGTTGTTTCATTTGTGTTTGGTTTTGTTATTAGAAAATTGTTAACCACACTCCCATTTTTTCCCTAACATACTTCACTCTTTGTTTCAAATAATGGAATTTAATAAATCAAACAAAAACAGGAAACATAATTAAATTAAATTGATTAGTTGTCATTTCTCTTATTATTGGTTGTAAAATCGAATACATTTTGTATGGAATTTTTTTCAGGCGAGCGTCATTTGCGATTCCGGCGTTCTCTCCGATGCCTTTTATGTTTTGATATCATGGGATGGACTTGCAATAGCAGCCGGTTATTCATGCTCGAAACTAGGTGGGATAATGAAATGAGAGTGTGTCTATATGAACTTTAGGAAGTAACAATTAAAAAGCCTTCTTGTATTGTACCATTGTACTCGAATAGTACATTTGTATATTTTCCATTTATTTGTTTAGGTTTCCAATTGTTCATCCAATCCACTTACATTTGGCTTTTTTTTTCATAACTCAAGGACTGGAAATTGTTTTGTTTATAATTTTAATAAGGTAGAATATTAAACTTAAAAACAAAACAATTTAAGGCAGAATATTGCTCTTAAAAAACAATTTCCAATTAAAATTCTCTTCAAGAGTAAGAGATTTCAAATTCAATCCGATGACAACAAAAGAAAAGAAAATTTTCAAATTTCATGACAAAAGAAGATATTCCAAAAATTAATACAGAACCTTTCAACAGTCTTGAAACAAGGTTTCCTATATCGCATCACTACCTTAGTCTGTCCAAGGTGTATAGTATTAGGGAGTTGATGCAAATGTTCATACATGGTAAACCGTTGGATATCATATCATCATGGACCGGCAATATTTGTTTATATTAACGTAGAAAGTGTAGAGCGGGATATAAATATATCGTTTTAATTTTCATTGAGCCTGCAAGATTAGAGATAGATAAGCTGAGCAGCCGCAGATCGTCAAATGAAACACCCCTTCAACTTAACAGAGTGACTCATAGTCTAGTGCGTAATCTGTTGGAAATGGAGCATAATCTAGTTCATTAGGTTTTTTGTTGACTAAATTTGGAAGGATTCATATTTTTGCCCCAAGGGTTGGAAGAGTCTAATAGACGGATCGACGGTGCTTTGTTGTTGTTGTGATCGTCAACTACTAGCTAAAAGGCACTTCACTAAAAAAATGCACATGCATGGCGGCAATTGGCAAAAGTAGTGTCTGATCCAATTCAGCCTTGTTTGGTTTGTCAAAGTTATGAAACTGAGGTCTCTCTAGTTTATGTTTTATTAGAATAGCCTAAAATTAATTGACAATAAAATAGAGAGGCTCAAAATTAATTAAACTACATACTTAGCAAAGCTTCATTTTTCGATGCATGTACTCGCAACAGGGACAGCTGGATTGCAGTCGCTTCGCTTATATACGTCGTCAAAATTAAGAAAATATGAATTTAAGTAATTGGCAGCTGGATGGTAGGCGGCGAAGCTGTTGACAATGGGAGGTTTTTGCCTTCGGAAGAGAAGCAAATTGAAATTATAAGTGAAAAACATGCAGTGTGGTTTCTGTAATATATGCATTCGAGCATTAGCAGTACTATTTGCTTCGAATTAACAATTGATGCTACGTACTGATAACCTTAATTAAAAAGATATAATGTCAATCTTACAGGCTTATTATAATCAGGAAGTGACAAATTCACACACTTCTGAAAGCACCCTCCCCATCCTCCATCCCAGTCATCGTATCATACAAAGGCTTATTCAACGTCTCCGGCAAATAAAATGCAAACATTCCACCCACAACCCCACACATGGCAAACACTGCAAACGGCAAACCCCCGCCCAAAACCACCACAAACGGGGCCAAAATCGCCCCCATTTGTGCGGCTTGTGTGGCACATCCAAGCGCTGCATTCCTCACCACAGTTGGAAACAACTCCGTGGTGTAAATAAAAAGCAAATTGTAAGTCCCCGCCATCCCAAAAATCCCCAAAATCCCGCACACCATCCTAACAACTTTCCACACCCCAACATTCCCCACCAAGCTCCCAAGAAAACAAAAAACCCCACTAAACCATAGTGTCCCAATTGCCAATGGCTTCCTTCCATACTTGTCCAGTAATATTGCTGTGATTGTGAAAGCTGGCATTTCCGCCACAGCATTGAGTAGCACATTGATGTAGAGGTTGGTTTCGAGGTTGACAACGTTCAAACTCAAACCATAGTACACAACCGAGCACAAGAAATTTATGGCCACAGCTAGGAATAACCGAATTCGAGTAACTGGAGACTTCATCACATCAATTAGAGAACCACTTATTGCTTCTTTGCTCTCCAATAGTTCCTTGTATGTTTGGTCATCCTCGTTTGTAATAGTAGTACTATTATCATTGCTTGCTTCTTCGTCTAGGGTTAGGACAACTCCCTCAGGAAGGTAGTTCTTGTTGGAGTTTGCAATTACGCGCATTAGTTTCATGGCTTCAGATATTCTTCCTCGTATGAGGTACCACCTTGGGGACTCAGAGACAAATGGTAGGACAACGATCAAGAATAGCAATGATGGGATTGAGGAGACAATGTAGAGCTCGCGCCATTGTGGGAAAACGTACGCAACACAAGAGAGGATTGCAATTCCTATTGAGAAGAAGTAGAATGTGGACATTCCTGCTGCACCACGCTTTGTAGGACCGACAGGTTCAGTGGCAAGGACGAAGGCACATAGACCAACCCCACCTGTGCTGAAGCCGGTGAGGAGGCGGAAGAGGACGTAGGTCCAGTAGTTTGGGGAGAATGCTGTTAGGCAACCGAAGATCGTATTCACAATGCAAACAACGGTTAGGGAGCCTTTTCTTCCTAAAAACGAGTCTGACAAATGCCCAAAGATTCCCGCACCTAAAATGAAAATACGTAAATATTAATCTTAGTAGCCAGTTAAAATATAATAGAAAAAAGAGAGTTCATTATCCAACATTAATTTACAATATTTGGTACATTGACTGAATTATACTAATAGTTTGTAATATCGACAATGTACCAAATGCTATATATTGGCACCTGTTACAACCATTCACCATTTACATACACAATAAGTAGGAATAAGTAGGGGTGTGATATCCACACACTCCATTTTACTTCTTACATGCCTTTTTAATTTTCGGCCGTCGGATCGGATGAATTGAAAAAGATCAATATACATAAATTATCAAGGGGTGTGTGAAAAGTAAAATTGGGTGTGTGGATAGCACACCCCCAATAAGTAACAAGTAGTACAACACAATCAAACCAGAAGAAAGAACCAAAAGAGAAATTTGGGCCCTATTACTTAACATGGACCTGGAAAATGATAAAGAGCACTAACCAAATGTCCTCTATCAATTTGGTTGCTCTTCTCCTTCTTCTTTTTATTTTTACTTTTTTAATACAATGATATATTTATACTAGAGGATTAAAGATTGTGCTAAATCATAATTTGGTACTAAATTTATCATCTACAAATTTCGAACTTAAGATCTTTTACTTACAAATAGAATAAAAATATTACTAAAATGTAGTAGAAGGTGTCATTTGATGCTCTAATTGTACATGATTCATGTGCATATAACTAGAATTAGTATGACTTACTAGCTATGATTTTATGATAGGATCAACGCATTACTACTGACCAAGGAATAATAGTGGCATGTGATGTCGACCTATATACTATTCTATATCGCCAGTTATTTGGGAACGCTTTGCACACATGCATGTAAAGGAACACAGATACATGCTACCTCTAGAATTATTGGCCTGCCGCTACGCTATTTGCAGGCTTCACCAGTTTGAAAGCATCTTTAACTCAATCATGTAACCCCATTGTCGCCAATTATTTTTTGTGGCGAATTAGCCCGTTAATGGGATAGTGTGCTCTCGTCTTTACGTCTAAGTTCCAATATTTCTTCGTAAATTAAAATATATTGTTTTGTTAGAGAAGAAAAAGGAAATTAAAGTCAAATGAGTAATATTTGTTTTCTTTACTGGGTAGGTACTTACGCGAGATATAATCATTCGAAACTAGGGTTTTATTTTTCTTTTTGTTAGTCTAATGATATATTTTTACACTACAGAGAGGGAGAGTTCGGCTAAATCACACAATGAATAACCGAATATGGTATCGTATTTATCATCCACAAGATTCGAACCTAATACCTCTCACTTTCAATTGAAAAGAAATACTATCAGATTATAGTACTGAGTCATGAAACTAGGGTTTAGTTAAAGTCGAAAGAAGTGCTTTACAGGTAAGCTTGAACGGATATACCCTTTATATGAAAAAAGCCTGCATTTGGATATACCTTCCACATGAAAAAAGCTTGCTTTTTGTTTTTTTCGTTCGAAAAAAGCCTGCATTTTTGGATATGCCTTTGTATGTGGAAAAGTCTGAACTTTGTCCAAGACATTTGAGTTCACTTTTAGAAAAGCATGAACCCATCTCGAATCTTTTTCATTGTTTTTCCTTCTTATCTTTGCTCCGTTAGATAAAAGTGGCATCTCTCTTTAGTTTGTTAAATTCAGCTAGGACGTAATTATTGATTTTTCACTCCAACTTGTAACGAGTTGTCGACTTTTATGAACTTTAATTGTAGTCAATACACTCTTTCTGAAATTTTAAAATTGACTAATTTTCTTCTTGAACTTTAGTTTTAGTCTATTACTTTTTGAACTTTTATAATTAGCCAATTTTTTCTCTAAATTTTAGGTTTTATAATGTAAAAGGGTAATTTTATCCCTAATATGGACAACATATTGTAGGGAGGAGGAGGGGGGAGAATTCGCCAATTATAAAAGTTCAGGGGTAATCAGCTAAAATTAAAATTTAGGGGGGAGAAATTGGCCAATTATAAAAGTTACAGAGAAAGAATCCATTAAAACTATAGTTCAGAGAGAAAATTGGCAGGTTCTTAAAAGTTCAAGTGAGAAATCGGCCAATACCTCATATTAGATATGAACCCTTGGTTTTGTCTAATCTTTTCATATTTTCCCGTTTAATTCCATTATTTAAGCTAATTCCAAGAGTTTAGTTTATATATGTGCTTTTGTTTTATATTCTATGTTTGAGAATAAATTTTCATATCGGACATATGATAAAATAATATGTAATTAAATGATAGAATAAATTTTATATTCTATGTTTGAGAATAAATTTTCATATCGGACATATGATAGTAAAACTTCACACCTAATATTAGTATGTAGTTAAGTTGGAGTTAATATTGATGATGTTAGTGGTATACATGCTAAACCTAAAAAGAGTATAATTTTACCCAAATTCATCCAAAATATACTAAAAGAGAAGAGATCAAACTTGAGTGCGTGTTCTAGGCAACATGGGATATGTTTTGTTATAAGTACAAAGAATGAGAGAAAAATTGATTAGTTCGTTGTACAATATATATATTTACAACTAGTTATATTTTTCTGTTCTCTCGCAGAGTCATATTCTGCTAGCTGCTAGT